ATAAAGTGCTCTCTTTTTGGTTATAATATCTGTGTCTGTTTTTCATTGATTTGATATGCTTATATCTCCCCTTGGGTTTTACTAACATCTAGCGTCCTGAGGGAAATCTGGAGGGAGGTTTTCCATATGAATAGTTTCGTCACTTTCAAAAGCCACTTGCAGTTTAAGACTCTTAAGGTTTTGTGTCAATTATGCACATCCCTTGTCAAGCTAAGTTCGTAAAGTTGATTGGAACCTTCAGAAGTGATGACAAATTAGGTATCACTGCTTAAGTGCGCCTATTCATAAAGATAGGGACAGGGCTCAGGTTCTGTGTTATTGTACACCTTGATGAAGTTCATTGACTCCTTACGAGTTATATTCTGGCAGGCACGCTCATTTGGAGATGTTAATCATGTAATTTGACCCACTGCTGTGACTCGGATAATATGTCCAGTACATGTCTGTGACTTCGATTTTAGCAGTTTGGGCAGTGCAAAACCAATACCTCTTTAGCTCGGTTTCTTGTTGTGAATGTTTTTGCCGTTTTTAACTTCTCGTCCTCTTCAAAACCCAACTGACTAGTGATGGAGTGATGCGCTGCACGACAGTATTTCATTGTTCATGAGTGAAGTATGAGCTTTAGACCAGATAGCCTTCTATACATCTCCTGGGAGGTTTTTGAAATAGCAATAAATAGACCAAGCCTAAATGAATGGTCCTGGCTTGACTCCTTAAAAATGAACTAGACCAAAAAGTTCATTAGCGTTCTCATTTCTCACTTCAGTTTTTGAGCATAATCTGCCCCATCGAAACTCCTGCAACATGCCAGTTTATGTAGTTTTCTTGGATTCAGTAGGCACCCCATTCTTGTGAACACTGCGAAAGGTCTCTCTCTCTCTCTCTCTCCTTATAGATTTTTCATGATGAAACCAATTATTTTCATAGAAGAGAATGGCTCCCTGTAGCAAGATATATTTCACCTCCATAAATTGATTGTGCCTTGTGCCAGTACAAGAAAATCTACAGAAGTTCAAACACAAGTTAAGATGATTATATACCAACACAAAATCCATCACCATCGACTCCCATATTGTAAGTTTTGGGTTTTAGCGTAAAGGGCCTATGCAAAAAGATGGCAAAAGGCGGCAACAAAGACAAAAAGATCTGTCTCCTCTCGCCTAGCCGCTCCCTTGCCTCTTCCCTTATTCAAGGCTCTGCACTGTCCATCAAGAACCTTGTGCTCGTCTGAGACTCAAACAAGCCATAAAAGTAAAAATACTAGATGAAAAAATTGTGGTTGAGAAACTTTAATCTCGGTGCATCATTTACCTGTTTCGGATCATAGATAGCGTATTCATTGTATTCAAGGGGGCTGTCTTTATGCACTGATGGAATCAAGCGACCACAACGAACTTTGATGTCATCCTTCCATAGAAAATATTCAGATTCATCTGTTGTCTTTCTCTCTAACCCCTTCACTCCGAACTTCTTCTCTTCCAGTGACTTTGTATCCTGTCTCGTTAAAAAGAAATAGATTTTCTAGGTTTCAGGAAAGTCGAAACAACTTTGCCATTCAAGCACAGAGATAACTTCAACATACCGCCAGTGGAATTTCAACTTTAATGACCTGATCCCCAAGAGAAGCAACAGCTAGAGCTAAAAATCCTTCTGGCCTATCTACTGCAGCAAAACCATACCTACCAGCTTCTGCAGCAGTATCAGAACAAACAATCGCCTTCCCGAACTGTGAGCCAGAAAAAGACTCTCAGGCGCAAGATCAGAATATTGACGCGCTGAAATTATAAACTATCAATATTACCATATAACCGGGGACTGGAAGAGAACAGACTGACGGCAGAAACCCTTTTTGCAAATGCCTTAACATGTTTGAGCTTCGAGTGCCTTTTAGGGCAAACAAACCCGGTAACAATCTACGCGAGAACAAGATATCACTGTCAATCAGGACTGAAATCTTACCACACCATAGCAGTACTTTGTTTGGCAACTTCTTTATCTCAACCAAAGGAGGACAAGCACTTGGTTCAACAGGAAAAATATTCTCAACTGATACTCCATAGTCCTACATTAACAAGTAAGACATGGCAAAATTGTTTGAGAGTTTTCATCACAATTGATGTCATCAAGCAATGGTAAGAAGTGTAATCTCACAAAGTCTCCAACTCTGACCGGTTCATAAGTCTTTTCTAATCACTTCACAATCATATTGTAGTCATCAGAATCTTTTTTTAGTGCAGACACTGAGCAGCCCAATTTCTTGTATCTATTCGACAATGGATCATCGAGGGTTGAGCCAGACATGTCTCCTATAAGGCGTGAGGCCACATTTATGTATTGAACAGTCTCAAATGCAGCTGTACCCTGAAAAATTCAATCAGAATCATGCATTAGTGTCAAGAAGAGGGACTCTAGAAGTGATAAGGAAACCTATGTTGGCTTTACATGATCTGCAAGATCCTGATAGTCCCTGAAAATGAAAGGACTAGTAGAATGCAAAAGAGAAAACCATCTTTAGCTATAATCTGAACACACAGCCTCTGCCTTCTGTCCTGTTTCTTTAGTTGATTTCCCCGCTTCTACAAACCAAAGCAGGACCTCCTCGCCTGATGAGATTATTTTGTTATTCACCAGTAAAGGAAAAGTAAAAGGACGAAGCAAAAGGAAAATCCTTACATCTTTCCATGTGAAAATTTGAAAGCATCCCGTTGGCAAATCAGGAGAGTCAAAACCCATCTCCATCATGGCACACCTGCCAAACAGTAACAAGCTTCTCTAGATAAAAAAAATTATGGAGAAAGCATGTAGAAAGGGAATTATCTGTATAAGGATCATGCCTGTATATCTCCCGACTGCACAAGATTTTCATAAAATAAGCAATTTTGGGTTCAAGTCTGCGGTGCGCGGCTGCAACTCCTAGCTGCCTTATAAGTCTGAGCCCTCCATGTCTCGCATCGACTCCATCATCCTATATGGAAACAAAATTCCCCATCAAGCATAAAACCACCTACACATATATATATATATATATATATATTGAGAAATAGCAAAGTAGAGGCATTTTGTACCATGTCTATTGGGTAGAAACTGAGTTGCTTTTTCTCAAACTTATTCTTTCTTTCCCACGGCTCAAACTCATTTCCTGCGAGTTCCTCAAAGAGCCTGCCAAACTCTTTAATAGCATTTTCCCATTCTTCAAGCCTCTCCTCTGCATTTGGATCACCGCCTACTTTCCCTTTCTTGTAGTACAAATGCAAGTTGCTCTCCAGTACCGTGATCAATTGCATGATACAATATCTACACCAAGTTACCACGAAATATAAATTCATATAGCTGTAGAAAATTAAGATGAAGAGTTCTTTCGTATTACTCGTGCAGTCCTCGACCCAGATCACAAAGTGAGAAGGCTCAACTGTACACTATCCCATCTTTCTCAAGTATCCTCCTACCACGTTCCTGCAATTTAGTGTCTTTGTAGACTCCTCTCTTGCCATATAGTTTGAGCTGCAATGCACAGACATAATTCGCTGATGAGGAGAAGATTTATTCCCTAGGAGTAATTGTTAGAAGTTCGTGCCAAAAAGCCCTTTATTTCTGCTGAAATTGACTTGGGAACCTCGGGATCTTGTTTGTCCCATGGAATTCCTTTTCCCACCACAAAAAGATCAGAAACATCATCTGCTTCCATTGGCTGTGGTTCTTGTTTCTCAATGCTGTCAAGCAACCATTCTTCCCTCACTACAGGTATGCCCGCCTCTATTAGGGAAAAAAAGAAAGCAGTTTTAGAAGCAGATGATCCCAAATATTTTTTTGTAAATCACGTTTTCGAGTGCAATGATATATCAGCAAAACTTATGGCAAAGACTAGCAAACAGACAAGATATGTTAGTGTAATGACAGGAGAAAGCAACAACTCATGTTAACTTGTCAAAGCCGAAGAAAAACAAATGTTCTGGATTTGTTTGCGAGAAGGAATATCCCCTAATTGTCTGCCTGCGGATATAGTTTGCAAGCCTAAACAAATTTCTGAACTCACATTGGATCAGCAAGCTTAGTGGAACATCCACGTTCTCTCTTTTGAACTTCCAAAGACAAGAGTATCTTTCGGGAGGAATCATACAATCTCTCCTCCTCCTCATGCCTGTCTTTACATAAGCAGATAGAAAAGTCATGTGACAGGCTCTATCTAATATTTTTCTCATACTGAAAACTGGTGTGGTCCTTTCGTCTTTGCTACTCTTTTTCTGCTACATGGCAAAAATGAACGAGGCTTATATTTCAATACGTACAATAGACTAAACTTGAGACATTGAAAATATTAGCGAAGTAATTTACCCAAAGAAAACATGCATGCAAACCAAGGGATTAATTCCAATTAATTTGAGGTAAACTGAGAACAAATTAAAACTAACCTTCATTTTTCTTTCGGATTCTTTCTTTACAAAACTCAAAACCGCTTCCTCGTTTCAACACCAGACCACGATATCCATGCGTCGGCAGACAAACTTTATAAACCTTTATTACATACCATTGTTATACTTCATGTTTCTGTACTCTAGACTAGACACGCACAATGATACCTCTATTACAAACCTCTTTGATCCTCATGATCTGTCGTACTAAGAATGTAGGATGTGTATCAAGGGGAGTAATAACTTGCCACTTGTCCAATATTATGGTTCCTTCTACAGCTTGAGCCGTTGTCAGGTGGTTGTAAAAAACTGTTACGCTAATGCCATGGAGTTTCATCTGTTTTCTTATGCATGAGCCCATTGGGGTATGGTTTCATTCTCTTTAGTAATTTGGCAGCTTCTTACCTCCCTGTACCAACACCCGGAGCATAAAGCGGCAAGGTTGCATTCAAAAAAAGAAACCAGGCCCGTCAATAAGGCCTTTCAGGCTGTTCAGCTTTCTTTATTTCTTTTCTTTTCTTTTCTTTTTTTGCTATATTTGGTAGAAAATGAAAAATTTGTTGTTCTTAGTGTAATTGGACGGATTTAAGGTTGATACATCCATTGCTGGAGATAATAAGATTGATCACAGGCTCCAATCAATGTAGTTATAATTTTACAAGAAAAGAAATGCTTTCATAGACTAAAAATGTAAACTCCATCTTTATCCATGCATACATATAGATGATGGTTTACAAATTTACTTGATGAACTACAAACAAGGTCTAGATAATTAGGTCATCACGCCTCAATGTTAGAGCTGGGACTCTTGAAGGAGTTCTTTCTTGCTGTAGCAAGAACAGTCTTGTCTGCAACTATAAAATATGCTGCTCCAGCAACTGCAAGGAAATTTATAATTTCATTAATTAAAGAAGAAAACAACAATTATACTGCGGATAATATTTGTTTAATCAGGACAGTAATTAATTAATTAATTACCAGTTGAAATTATGAGAGCTTGAGCTGTGTGATTCAGATTGGCCCTTGCCCATGGCAGCATCCTTGCACTAGCCATCTACATGTTAAACATGATACAGTTCAGAATCAATCAAAGAATTCTCTTGTTTTTTTTTTAATATTTTTTTGATTAATGGGGTGAATAAAGGATGCTGCAAGAAAGTTACAGGAAGACAGGCTTACAGTTGGAATGGCAGTGGCAATGGTAGCAAGTGCAGCTGCCTTTGCTCCTGCAACCACTCCTTCTGTTGATCCATCATAAACACATTAGTTTTGCAAATTTGGAAACGAAAATGAGAGCTGATATACAATTAAAACCCAGTAACAGGTAAACGAAAGGAAAAATGGGGCAGGTTATAGGTACCATGAGAGCAGCGCTTTGCCATGGCCAGCTTTTGGTCAAGTGAAGCTAAGCTATTTCTCTGTAGAGGAGACTCGGCAACAACTTTCTTAGACATTTTAAGAGGCAAGTGAACAAGACCAACGCTGGCTAATTAATGGAAGAAGTTGATTATTCCTAGAGGAAATATGGGGAGGTTTGTTTTGCTTGAAGAGTAGAGCAGGATTTGGTTGCATATTTATACGGATCTTGGGGTGGTTGGATAGAGAGAGAGAGCCCCTGGTGTTCAGGGGTGGGATTTGATGGTTTCATTTGAATTCTATCATCATAGTCACTTGTTTTTACTTCGGTTTCTGTTCATGGTCGGTTGCTGCTCATCCCAATGTGCATTCATTTATGAAAAGAGAAGGGTGGAGGGGAAATTTGTCTCCAAAATTGTCTTCCAATCCTCAATTGAATCTTCAAACAAAAACACCTTTCAATTAGACCCCTTATCTGCTGAATGACAATAGCCCATTAATCTCCACCTTAAAAGTTTTTCCTTTTAAAATCATAGAAAGAGGACCTATTTTTCCCATAAATTTGAACGAAGGATCAATTGTATAGCGTGTGACGAATGGGATAAAATATGTTCATTTCCAAGAATAGAGAGGACGGTTGTTGCATAAAATATACGAGTAATGGGATCTGCATTTCTTTGCCTTCTGTTACAAGATTGGCCTTCTCTATCCAGCTCGGGAGAGAGAGAGAGAGAGAGAGGAACAACACATGATGCTCTTTCTTTTCAACATGGCAGGTAAAGAAAGCCACTGGTTTGAGTGTCGAAAAACCATGGGTTCGCCCTCGGATGCACACGTACGTGTCCCAACTCCCAAGTGCTGTGACTGACACTGGGAGACTGGCGTCATGTTACTTTCGTACTGTGCATGCCTTTGATGGGTTTCTCTTTTAGTTCATGGTTTTTGCTTGAGTGGGTGGCCATTCATTGGTGCCTTTCAACTGTTAGCCAAACCACCAATAATTCAGGGCCAAGATTGTAAAATCGATGCGTGCTGAAATCCTAGGCTTCCAATGACTTGAACGTGTTTGAGCTTAGGCAAAACCATTGAAGGATGAGATGCTGCTTTGAGTAATTAAGCAGTTTTTTAGTTTTTTATTTTTATTTTTATTGAGTCTTGAGCTTAGATATTCTGCAGTTTTTTATTTTTTTTTAATTCTGAAGTCCATATGATTTTTTAATTTTTATTGAGTCTTGAGCTTAGATATTCCAGTGAAGTTCAGATAAATCTCGAAAATACACGTGATTTGTTCATCATGATTGTAATAAGTTAAAATAAGGTTCATAAATCGGATTTTAGCCGTATGAAATATTCAAGAACTGAAATAGTTTCAAGTTGATTAGTGGTTTATAATTATCTCTTCCTGATTTGCTCAATAATTAAGATTTCAGTGTTTTTGATGGAAGATTGAAAATAGAGGAGTTATCTACAAGAGTGATGATAGCGTCCATGAATCTAAGCTGAGGCAACAGTAACATTGATGTGTACCTTAAATGCAATTAGAGGCGAGAGGGAGAGAGAGAGAAACAAATTAATTATACACTGTACATAAAGCTAAAACCGCTCGGCTTGTTTTACTGTGGGTAGACTGTGAAAAGTATAATCTACACTAAAATGATTATTTTGTACCACAAGGGGTTTTTTCTTTGTGATTTTTATTTTTTTATACAGTATAATTATAGTATAGTTTTCAAGGTCAACTTTTTTGACCTAAAGTTAAGGGATGTTTTTTATTTTTTATTTTTTGACCTCGTTCTTTTTTTAAATTATTATACAGGGTCAAAGAAGTTATGATCTTTTGATAAATAAAAAAAAAAAAGTTTGCACATGCAAAATATTTGTTAACAGGTGAATGGTATCTGTGTATTTTGGATGATGTGTCCGGTTTTTAATAACCATTAATTACCTTCTAAGAAGGCTTTTAAAATATCGGGCCATCCTTTATATGATGGGATAGAACGTGTTTATTTTTATAGTATAATAAAACTTCAGTGATTTTTTTTTTCTTCACCTTAAAAAATATGTTTGTCTTATAAAATTATAAGATGATCTTTAATATTTTAATTATATTGATTTTTATTTTTTTTTAATTTTATTCATTAATATTTATTTTTTATGTTTCTTTAATTACATTTGATCTTTTTTTATTGGATTTTATTTTTCATTTTAATCTCTAATCATTTGATTTTAATTTTTTTTATTAAATTTGATCTTTATTCTTATAATTGTAAATCCTTTTATTTTAAGTTCTTTTTTTAATTAATTGTTTTTTTGACAATTTCATCATTTCTTGTTTAATTTCATTAAATTTTAATATTATATTTGATGCTTATTTTTTTACAATATTTTTAAAACTCGGTATAGGAGTCGACCCCCATCATCCGGTTACATATTGAATGAGTGGGAGTTAATGACATAAATCAAAATTTTTATTATATTGAAAGTAAAAATAATATTATTTTAATAAAACAAAAAATTAAAGGTAAAACATAATCAATGGATTTTGACATAATTTTCTCCTAACTAGTCGCTTTATTTTTTATTTGGTAAAAAAATAAAAATGATATTATTTTGGCATAGTTTTTCTTCATTTTGGATTTTTTTTTCATATTTTTTTTCCAGCTTCCTTCATTTCCATTGATATATATATATAGAGTACTCATTCTTTTAAGGGTTTTTTTTATTTTAATTTTATTCCTTAATATTTTATTTTATTTTTCTTTCCATATCTAATATTTATTATTTTCATTTTTTTTATCATATTTTATTCTTTTTCCAATTTTTTCCTTTAGCATTTTATTTTATTTTTTTTCTTATGCAATTTTGGTTCTCATTCTTTTAATTGCTCTTTTTTTTTTATTAAGTCTCTCATTATTTTTTTCATTAGTTTTTATAATAGTTTTGGTCCTCATTATTTTGATTATTATTTTTTTTTTTTTTTATGGTTAAGAATTTTTTTCAAGAATTTTTTTGGTCTTTTATATGGTCATCTCGGTCTCAAACTTTTTTTCTTGGTGATTTAGTTACAATTGAAAACCACTTGATTTTGATTTCTCGTAAGAGGGTGAGATTGAAAAAAGAGGAACCAAAAAAGAAGCACAAAACATGAGTGACATGTCACAAGTTTTACAAAAAATGTACTTTGCTTCTCAAACTTAAAAAAATAATGTAGATTATACAATTTCGTTACCATAATATTTTTTATATTTAATTTTAATATAAAATTTTATTTTTGTTATTTTTTAGTATCTAGTAGAAAGAGGAGATATAAAGGTTGTCAAATTATATTGGTAGAGAGATAAACATGTTATTGATACATACTGATTTAAGCCACCAAAATAAATAAAATTTGTGTTAAATGGTTTCATTTGATGAAGGATCTTTTAGTCGTGTCAGATTTCATATTAGGTGTTTTTTTACCTGTAAAGTTCATAAAAAAACATATTTGAGCTTGAGTTGATTTTTAATTTTGGAATTGTTTTTAGATCATAAATAAATTTATCATAAGTTATAAAGTGTTTTATAAGTGTTGTGGGCGAGGAATTGGTTGAAATAAAGGATTTTTTAGATTAAAAAAATACTTAAGCCTTGATTTTTTATTACAATAATGGTCAGAATCTAGGCAAAAGCAGAAAACACATCGTCATTTCAAAAAAATTTATTAATATTTTTTCATTATTTTAATTTTTTAAATTAATAATTTTTTATATTTTTTTTCAAAATTGTTTATTAATATTTAGATTAATATCTCTTCTCTTTTTTATTTTGTTTAGAGAGCCTCTTTTAAATGAAAATTATTTATTGGTTGTACATTTAATTTTTGAAAAGGTTTTTTCTAATTTATCTATAATTTGTTTTCTATCTTTTGTATGGATGAATTATATTTTGAAAATTAAAAAATTATTTTAAGATAATATTTATAATTTGTGCACCCTTGTATAATATTTTTTCCCTTTTATTTTATTCAATTAGTTTGATGTGTGTGTTTATTTTTATTTTTTGTTTGATTGAATAAAAAATTGTTGTCATAAATAAATTTATTAAATACAACCCGGTAAAAGTCTTGTCTTACAAAACAAAATATCTTGATCTACACTTGACTCATAATTTTACAGTTTTATTTTTAATTATCGTTTATATTTATATTTTTTTATTTATTAAACACATAAATCTTGATTTATTTGATTGCATGTATGCATAAAGTTTTTTTTATTTGTACTTAGATTTTTTTTAACTGCAAAAATGTTTTGAAAAAGCCTATGTATAAAATTGTTTTTTGAAAAAGAACTATCTAACTAAGAGTCAAGTATTTTTTAGACAACTTAATCATGACTGAAAGTTAATTGCTTTTGATTTACTAGGAAATGGTAGAATTGGAAGAAAATTAGCAAAAATAAAAAAGTCATCCAACATAAGTGATCTGCCAATGATTTAAAATAAAAAAGTCATCCAACATAAGTGATGTGCCAATGATTTAAAAAAAAAATACTCTTAGGTCTTTACATTTTAAAAAAATAACACAGACTATACAATTTAGGTCACTTTGCTTTTAAAAAAACATTTTGATACAAAAGTTTATATTTATTATTTTTTATCACACAAAATGGATTTTTTTTATTTGTGTTTACGAGTTCCAAAAGATGAAAGAGGCTAAATGATGTTTTTTTTAGAGTTTCAATGTTGTCTAAATTGTTTTTATCTAAACCGAGGAGAATCTAACCCGGTTTGATTTTGTTTTTTTGGATACTTTTTGAGTATTTTGAATTGATGAATTGGCTTCTAAGTTTTTCAAAGGTGTTATTAAAGTGTTTTGAAGTTGAAATGATTTAAAAATTGAATTTTTTGAATAAAAGAGAATTTGGGTTTGTAGGCAAGATGTCATCTGTCTTGGCATATAACATGTCTCTTTTTAATTCTATTTAAAAAAAAAAAACATAGAAGTGGACAACAAGTTGTTGGCCTTTTTAAAAAATAAAAATAAATAAAACCAAGCCTATGTGTGTGTGCTTGGGCTTGAAAATGGCCCAGACATGTTAGGTTATAGATCTATACACCTAGTTTTTTTTTTTTTTAATACAAACACATTAAGTATTAATATATAAATTTAAGATAAAAGAATTATTTAACCTAGTTGTGTTCATATTTCGGATCATGATATTTAGAAAGAAAAAAAAATAATCTTGAATTTTTTAAACAAACTATATTTTCACTAGTTGTTTGAATTGTTTTTGGATCCGATAAGTTGATCAT